TCAATTGGTTAAAACAACAGTTAAGCTACTCTAGTGAAAAACAAACTACACTTGGCACAACTACACAGTCAACAGTGTCAAGGTATATTTTTTTACATCTTTTTTTCATGATGTTATGCATATTTAAATTCTGCAGTCAGATTTCGTCACACACTGAACTTCAAAATCATGTTTGCCTTCATGTTGAGAAAATACGCCTTCATTTTCATTTAGGTTTTTAGTCCGTGAAACATTCCCTGAGAGCGCATGTAAAGCCTCTGTTTAATGGTATTCTCAAACAGCCTGAAGGACTAAATGCCCATCTAGGAATAAAATGATCAAATAACAGCATCATTTTCCTCATCAAATCCTCAGAGACTCCGTTATGCCGACACTCACGTTACACAAAGTCAATGAAAGAGGAAACGTATTATATTGAAGAGAATTAGTTTACAATGAAACTATTTGCAATTTGCATTCAAAAAGCAAGAATAAATCAAATTATAATATAAAGCTGTCATCTTAGGGAGGCACAGATATAGAAATTCTGCTAATAAAAGCATATATGTCTTTGTTGTGGCCAATAACTGAAATGATGGCCAGTAAAGCTCCAATCTTGATTTTATGAGTTTCAAGCTAAATCAGGCATCATATAAAACTGCACAATGAAAAGATGAGTAACTTTATTTTCTATGGGTATCATACTAATCGGATCAACGATTGGCTGACAGCAATATGCTAACAGATGTATTGCGCAATACCGGGTTAACTTAAATTAAAGGTCAGTTTAGGTCCAGACCAGAGTAGCCAAAAAACAGTCTTTTGGAATAATCTGGTCTGTAATAACGGACAGCGTGTCCAGTTCAGACGACTGCCTGAACTCTTCCCACCGCAAAACCCTTTCCGTGGGAAGCTAATCCACAGTTTAGCACTCGCATACGAATGCCACTAGCAATAAAAAAGGATTTGACTTAATCTTTCATCAGGCTGGAATTAACGTGTTGCATAGTATATCAAGGGTTCTGCCAAACTTGGCAGGCTGGGAAACACAGTCTCAATGTTGATGAACCTTCTGTACAAATACAAATCTCATCCAGGGTCTTATGCCTATTCACGAACATTTAGTTCATCTAATCCCGACTAGTCATTTGGGCTCAGAAGCTTCAGTCTCAGATTCAGACTGAAGCTTCATTTGTTTACAAAACGTTTTAGATTTGCCTTCAATACGTTATGCTATTTATTCATAACCACTTGCCAATCTGTTATAAAAAAAGCCACACTTCATACACAGATTTAGCAGAAACCCCTTTAAGTGCTAATCTACTTTCTGCAATATATGAGGGATGTCCCGAGCCGAGCTCAAGCAGATCGGGATATCAGAGCCGATTTAGCAGATCGTGGCTTTTTTTAACTGATCAGTATCGCTGTCATGCAGGTGTCATACAGTAGGTGGCGCTATGCACATTCACCTGGGTTTGCCAATCGCCATTAAGAGGAAAAGTGGTTCAAATGTGCTTCCGTAACGTGCGGGAAGGTCTGATTTAGCGCATCACACAAGCACGGTTGAGCTTTAGCATATCTGATGCGCGGGTTTGTAACGAATCACTCGAAAGTCGTATATTTACGACTTACTTTTATTTGCCGTCAGACATTGTTGCCATAACACATTGCTATATGGTTCGCGTTTTGCTTTAGACTTGAGTTTTCATGCTTTCTAACATTAAACAAACTTTTTTTTTCGCAAATATTCTGCTTAAATTTATATCAGTAGTCCCATGACTTTATTAGTTAGTCTAGTAAATGTTGCTTTGGTATCAGTGTTGGGTGTAATGCATTACTAAGTACTTAATTACTGTAATTATGTGTATGTGTGTGTGTGTGTGTGTGTGTGTGTGTGTGTGTGTGTGTGTGTGTGTGTGTGTTCCTCCAAAATTCCTTCATAAGAACTGCTTTGTCTTACTTGGAAAACACAATCAGCCTTAACAGACTCTTAAATCTTTAGCTAAAAGCTCCCTCCTAAATTTGTTTTGTCTGATTTAAGTTTTTTCTTGTTAACTTTTATAAACAAAAGACGGAGCATGACACACTCCAGGAGTCAGAGGCGTGCCGTACATGGTTCAAGAGTTTCTCTTTGCCAGACGCTATCCAACGCACCGAGTAAACTGAGCAAACAGAAGAGAGTTCTGCACAACAGCCCTTGCTCCATTGAAAAGTATTTCTTTACTAGTTTATCATCAAAGTATAGAATTCAGGTTTATGAGCTGTTCTTCTTTTTCCTTTAAACAAGCATTTAAAGACATTTTGGCATTAAGTTTCCATGCACACACAAAATACAAAGATTTTCAAGTACTGAAATATCTCCCATTATCTTAAAACGTTTTGAAGTAATGGCTTAGATGTCTTCAAAAACAACATTGAGCATTAATGCGGATGTATGAATTTCAAAAGTAGTATATTATTTTTGAAGAGGGCAAACTGGAGCTGATAATGAATGCAAAGCAGCCAACAAGTGTCAAGTACACATACTCTATAAAAATGATATGATCCATAAGTAATGGCAACGTGCTTTCATATTAACTCACGTTTATTTAATCAATTTCAACTTAATTTTTGTTACACTTTTTTTTTATATAAGTTTAACTCGATTTTAAGTCGGTTTAATAAAATATAAAGAACTGATTTTTAAAAGTTGAAGTAGTTGAAACTTCTCTACAGTGTAGAAACGCCTTCAATAGTTTAACCGCATCCCAAGATGCACCTCATGCAGCAGCACCAGAATGAGCCTCGGCAATCTAGAGAAAGAGGTTTAAACCGTCTCATGGTCTCTACATAATTCTCATATTTACATTTATGCCATTTCAAAATTATGGCTTTACTTTTAGTCATAAGTAGTAGGCGTGTTGGTAATGTGTGTAACAAACACACACACACACAGTTAGGAGGTTTTGTTGTTGTTTTCGATAACCAGCTCAAATCTCAACTTCGCCCTGGTAAGGTGGGAAACAGATGTGCCAAGACACATGCAGCCTGAAAACATAGTGGGAATGGGAGAGGGAAGCTGGACAAAGACCCAGCAAGAAAAAAGCCATTTAATGCAAAAGTGGGAGTCAAGTCCTCAATCGATCTTAAAATATGACAGATCAGCCCTTTAGTATTCATAGGGTGTTCAATCAATCCCTCCAATCTGGATTTATGGACACCTGAAGATCGTTAGCTTGCTGCTTTCAAGGTTCAAGTATGGAGAGATACTCAATGAGCTTTAGATTTTTATTTTCTAAAAAAAAAAAAAAAAAAAGCAAAGCAACACCATCTTTTCAGAGATTGATGAAAAACTACCCGTTTCTGGGGAGGGGTTTGACAAATTATGAAAAGTAGACGGCTGGGATGTGCAAAACTTATTAAAATAGTCTAGTTGACTAAATGGGGGGGATAATAAGGTACAAATAAAAGATATGGCAGTCGCACTGCAGTATAAGACAATGACTGACACATATGAATATTATCTGCCACTCTGCATTGAGGAACCCGACCCCCCAGGATCACTGGATCCACCCCGGCGTCGACACATCCTTCAGGTTCTCCAGGTCTAACACGTGAGCGGGAGAGAGAGGGAGAGGGAGAGGGAGAGGGAGGGAGAAGCAGAGCGAGTCGTAAACACACACAGAGCAGGAGAGGAAGGGTTCGAGGACGTGTGGAAGTTTTAGACCGGTGATCATGATAGGTGATGCGGAGACGATCTGGGGATTCGTCCAGCTCCTCAAGAACAGGGAAATTCCTCAGCATGAAACCGAAAAGTGAGATGATATCTGGATCTTTTCCCACAGGGAATTTGGACAACCTGATGTTTTGTTTGTACTTTTTTTGGGTGCACATATAAAAGGCGATAAGTCACAATCTGAGGGACGTTTAGTGCACTTGTTTCACTTGCTTAAAAGACCATGAATGATACGGAGTTAAGCTAATGAATAGAGGAAACACACAGCTTTGGGAGCACGGTAAGTAGAAATCATTTTCAAAAAAATTTCCCATAATGGGAAAAATTTAATCTATTTAGAAATATTTTACATTTATAAAATAGTGTAAATGTATATTGGTGAGATTATATATATGTTTAGCTTATAAGAAGAAATAGCAAAATTTCAAACGGTGAACAGAGTTTGTAGGGGAAAATATAACAGTCTACTTTCACAGAGCTTCTAAAATAATAATTTTGGTAACACTTTACAATAAGGTTCATTTGTTATCATCAGTTACTGTATTAACAAACATCAGCTGACAATGAGCAATACATTTGTGATACATCATTTTTGTTAATAAAAATACAGCTGTTCATTGTGTTTCCATGTTAGTTCACGGTGCATTAACTAATGTTAACAAATACAACTTTTGATTTTAATAAATGTATTAGTAAATGTTGAAATTAACATTAAGATTAATAAATGCTGTAGAAGTATTGTTCATTCTTAGTCCATGTTAACTAAAGTAGTTAACTAATGTTAACAAAAAAAAAACATTGTAAAGTGTTACCCAAATTCTAAGGTAAATTCCTATTAATTTTCTATATATAAAAAAAATCTTATTTTCAATATATAACATAAAATATAGATTTTAATATAGAAGATAAATAAGATTACACAACATTTGTTTGACTGTATTTCATAATACTCATTACATAATGTTATGACAGAAGGAACCATTTCCAAATTATAATGCAATTATGAAATCCTAATTAATCTGAAAACATAAACGTTGTTTATGAAGTCAATCTGCCTCGACTGATTGGGTTGGATAGGAACACAAATGACTCCAGACGGCCAACATTCACAGATCATTACTGATAGCCACTTCCTTGCTTAATTAAAAACATGGTCTGGTACACGTACTGCTAATCACATGACAAGAAAATCATATTCATCATATGTCGCTATAAGATAATGTGTTTTGAATGACGAGACCGTTCAAATGTTTGTATTTCCAGGAGTGTAAAAGCACAGAGACAGAACAAACCTCGTCTACCATGTGACTACTCTACTGTTCCAACAGGAGATGATAATTAAGAATTTGGAGGGGAATACTTTGGAAACTCATTTTCTCGATAAATTGGATTTTGCAAGCAAACAGAAGACGTGCACCGCTTGAACCGAACACGCTTGGCCACCGTCTGACCGGAGCGAGTCTGTGACCATGCTGGACGAGCCCACGGAAAGAACAAAAGCTCAGTTTCACAAAGCAGAATGGCTAGCTATAGTGTCTTCAACCAAACGGGGAGCGAGGACTGGGATTTCCACGAGCCTGGAGAACAACTGCGCTGGGCCGCACTGCTCATTCTCCTGGTCATCTTTCCCACCATTGGTGGAAACATCCTGGTCATTCTGGCAGTGTCACTGGAGAGGAAACTGCAGAACGCCACTAACTTCTTCCTGATGTCTCTGGCTGTGGCCGATCTACTGGTGGGATTGCTAGTGATGCCCATCGCACTGGTGACCGTGCTTTTCCGTAAGTAATCTGAACTTCGATTGTACAAATAAAAAATAAAACAAGTTCGGTAACACTTTACTTAAAGTCCTTCTGTATATGCATTATAAACGTATTTTTAATGCAGTAATTATGCCTTATAATGCATTGTATGGTCTCATCAGGGCTCCAGACTAACTTTTCCACTGGTTGCACTGGTGCTACCAACTTTCTCAGTTGGTCGCACCAGCATATGATTTGGTCGCACCTTTTTTCTTCTTTTTTTTTGCTACATGCCATGGGATTAATCAATGCATGCTGATGAATAGTGGTTTTAATGGACCAAGGCTAGCAAAGGCTTTCTGTGTTGCAGCAGAAATACCTCTAATATATTAATTATCATTGCCAAATTTCAGGATTTTCATGGATTTTGGACAGTAATTTTAATCTGTAATTTTAAGCATTTTACATTTGAATTATATACAATCTATTTACATTTGAATCATATTCTATCTATCTATCTGTCTATTATCATCTTTCTATCTTTTAAAAATCATTAAACATTCAAATGTATGCATTACATTTTAAAAGATTAGAGTATTATAATAAATGATACAGATTTTTCGTTATCAAAGTTTATAGTTGTAACAAAAAGCAGAAATGTCACACTCCTTACCTTCTGCATTTTATAATAATTTCCTTTTCCTCTGTCGAGCGATCATGAGAGTAATCTTTAGACAGAGGAAAATATAACCGCTGAAAAGACGTAGGAGGAAGGGGCTCTGTGTTTCGTGAGACCATTTTTATATGCCTTAATTCGGGAATTCGTAATTGGCGCGTTCCACCATCAGTGTGCAATAATGCGCGTGACGTCTACGTTCGTCAATAAATAAACTGCACGTGTCTTGCGGAAGAACACTGTAGCCGGAGCTACTTCTCTCTGTTAATGTCTACGGCGAGTCACGCAGGCACTGGGCTACTCCGCAGCCGAGCCGAGCCCGGGATAAAATAGTCCGAATATAAACACTTATTATAGGCGTACCGTAGTGATTCAGAATAAGTCAAAAACACGGTTTGGAAAATGGATTCATGATGTAGCCTACTCGTTCATTTTGAACATAAGTTACGGACTGCAGCAGCTGATACAACGGCGTTCTGTTGCTCAAGCGTCCACTCGCACAAATGCGACCACATAACATTTTAACTCGCACATTCTCAAAAAATGGTCGCAGTCTGGAACCCCGCTCATGAATAATTGTAACCACAGTTATAATACACTATACTACTTATCAATTCATTGAACACCTTTAGAAAGTATAATGCATTAAAACACACGACACAACCAATTTCAGAATCTGCAAACATTATAACTGGTTACAATCATTTATGGAAAAGATATAACATATTATAATGTACATTATAAATAGCTTTATAGTGTATTCTACATAAGGGCTTTAAGTAAAGTGTCACCAAAAGTTCTTCCAACATTAGTTTGGTGGTTCCATAAGGTTTGTATGATAGTGAAAGTTATAACCCAGATGAAATCTGTAGGCTTTTTTTGTCTATGATTTTGACTAGTTGTAGCACTAAACGCATATTAAACAGAATGATAAAGACCGTGTTTCGTTTCCCTGCACTGAGAGACCGAATACACACAGCAGTCGTAAAAACATGTCTCGCACAGCTTTCAAACATCTGCCAAGCTGCTACTGTCATTCGTATGCCAGCGTGTCTTTCAGTTCCGATGCCAGAGCACTCCAGTCGGTCCATTATTCCTCATTGATTAGATTTGATGACATTTATTACTTCATTTGCTGCACCTGGTCTTCACACATTAAAGCTTAAGGTGAACCAGAACTTTGCTGGCTTCGTCACAATATCGGGATAGTTCACCCAAAGATTCGGTCATTTACTCAACAAACCTGAATCACTTTCTTTCTTCTGTGGGACACATGGTTTCACGTTATTTTGATGGTCCCTTTAACACATTCTTTTGACTAAAAGTAAAGTTGCACTTCTCATTATTAGTAGACTGGTAGGGTTAGGGTTAGAATAAGTCTGTAGTTGCAAAGTTACTTATAGGCTAGTCAACAGAATGATCAAAAGGGACGATCAAAATAAAGTGTTACCAAGAAAACAATTCCATCAAAAATGTTAACTTTTTTTTTTTTTCCTATAGAATGAAAGTCAAAGTGGTCCAAGTTTTGGAACGACACAAACGCCCAAAAATTACAGATTTTTTTTAGCATGAACTATCCCTTTAACTCCGGTCATCTGTCCTGGAAAATACTTTAACAGATGCTATTCATCCAAAGCAACTTGTCAAACACTTTGTTTGAGAGATTGGGGGGAAACAGAGCCAAAATGTAAAGATGGAGAGGGTTGGCTTTAATTGATTTTTTTTTGAGTCGGGGCGGTTCTGAAAATGAAACTGAGGTTTCAGTCGTTGAGTTAAACCAAGCCTTGATGACGTGAAAACATTGAGTCGTCCCCCAAGGACCATAAGGATAGGAAAAGGGAGCAAAAGTCCAGGTTTTCTAAAGGTGTTCCACACAAAGAGAACCATGTGTGAACGCAGAAAAGATTTCGCCAAACAGCTGAAGCTCACCAGAAGCCATGAACACTGACAGGTAATTAAGCTGAATTACCTTAGGAGGAAGGGCCACAATAACACATTTTGCTTGAGTGCAACAACTTATTGACCAAGTAACTCTAGGTTCAACTTAGCAGTAACTCTAGACCTTAATTCTCAAGATAATAACTTGCGATTAAATGTAATCATAAAAATAAAAGTAACCTTTCCCAATTGGAGTAACTCAAAGGGTTCGGTCCTGTGGAGTTATCCTGTAAGATGTGCTTGCTCAAACAGTAAAACCAGTGTTATACCAAAGGCCACGTCCACATCTGTGGACCAGGTGAAGACAGAAACTGAAGTTAAAGCCATGAAAAAAAAGCAACGACTGAGCACTGTGAAAACCTACACAGCGCTTGATAAAGTGTCTCAGCAGGGCTAAAAACAAGAGCCAACCCTTGAGAGCACACCACAAATGTATTTCTCTGAGAAAGAGAGAAATATTTACATGAGGAAGTTGAGACTTGGCAGGGCAAACCTAAAGTGTGGTAGAGTGTCTCTTTATTTAGCTTTCAGGAAGAGAGGGCACACTTTCCTGACAGTCTATATGGAAACTAGGGATGGATGATTTAGGTAATATTAATGATATTAATGTAGGCATCATCCAATTTTGGAATATCGCAAATACTGCAATAATTTGTCCTATTCAACTGACCGAATTTCATCTGTGAAAATTCACAAAACAATGGTGAACATGGACACACGTTTACACTCTACAAAATAATTTTTAGATCTGAATCTAATGAGCAACAACAGCATTTTAGATAAAAAAGGTTTCCTGGGATTGGGGGAAAAAATCCAAAAGGAATTAAAGTAACCTATACTGCTTCACATACTGAGAAAATATATATATATATGTATATATTCAAATTTCACCAAACATGGCATGGAAGAAACTGCTCAATTTATGCACAAAAATTCAGAATAGTGTCATTTAATGCATTTGACTCATGCTGATTAAATCAATTAAGATCAAAAATTATTCAGAACGCTTCAAAAAGCCCAGCTGGCAATAATGTACCGTCTGAGGAGCTACTATGAAGGTCTGTTTAGTAAAGAGGGGTGATCTGACTAATGCCAGTTTTCAACATCTGGTCAAGGCCTCTCCGAACCATGGAGATCTGCTCGTAAACCACAGGTTTGGAGATACACTGTAGTTTAGGTCCATGCAAGCTAAAAAAAAAACATGTTTGAAAACACATATAACCCAAAAGAGTTTTTACAAAATGCAGCTTTGTTCAACTTCAGGATTATTAACAGTTTTATAATTACCTTTTTGAGGAATGTTGCTAACTTTAGCATATAACCCTCTTTTTCACTTGTTGTCATGAGGGCAATAGGAGTTTATCTGAAGACAAACGGAAAAACTGGCAACATGAAGACAATAATATCTTATTTAAAGGCTTTAGACAATATCATCTGCAAGCGTACTGGGATGAAGATCAACTCGATTCACCATTTCATGTCTGTCACTAAAATAAACCGCACCACTGATGAAGAGCTTGATGAATAAGCCAAAAGCCCCCGAGTGTCTAATCTTGTGCACTGTTTTTTGTTCAACTCAAGCTTGTATCAATTTATTTCATAATGTTCAGATCCAATAGATGCAAGATGAGATGCAAAGGCTGTGATAAATTTAAAGTAATGCATTCTCTAACGTCCATGTCCAAACAAGACAAACAAATGAAAACCAGTCTATTGACATTTACAGTGAGTCATGCGTTGTGAGAAACGCAACAGCGACGAAAAGTTGCAAAGTCATCTGGAAGAATTGGCAAAAACATTTTGTATGATCATCTTAAAAAAAAAAAAAAAAAAAAACTACTAGTAGCACTACGTGGAATCTGTAATGTAAATGCTCATAATAATATTAGGCCTGACTGAAGAGGAGAAACAAGCAATTATACTAGTTTTGAAACTTTGAGGGAGCAGGTTAGGGCTGGATGTCTCCAGAAACACAACATAACTTTAAATGGGTCACTAACTCTGACAGAAGCTAAGCGTTTGTCATCACAAAATGGCCAAAAGTTTGTCGTATCTCCAATTCAGCCAACCCATTGGCTGGTGCTTAATCTTCTCTTCATATTTCAGACTCCAGATGGCCCCTTCCAGACTTCCTGTGCCCTATCTGGCTGTTTCTGGACGTCTTGTTCTCCACGGCGTCCATCATGCACCTGTGCGCCATCTCCCTCGACCGCTACATAGCGATCAAGAAGCCAATCCAGCACAGCCAGTTCAAGTCCAGAGCTAAAGCGTTGGCGAAAATCGCACTTGTCTGGCTAATCTCTATAGGTATGTCAAAACACAAGCCGAAAAGACACTATTACATGAAATCAATGAATGCATGAACAATTACAAATACTCATTTAAATACATATTCATATATCTACTATAAAACGAAAAGGAAATATTGCCTTTACAATTGTGGGGAACGGCATTAACCCAATTGAAATCAATTTTAAAAACACAATTGCCACAATTTTCTCTCAAAAGATGAAGAGGCAATGCGGTTTCAAAAATGGGAACAAGCTCAAATCTAGTTTAATTACCTACATTTAATAAAATATGTATAGCTATATTCAAAATGTGGCAAACCCCAGTCCTTAATCTCCACACCGATCAATGATCTCAGCACTTTTGTGTCTCTGGAAAAGTCGCATACGCATAAATATCCTTTATCTTGTGTCACTGACTGGCCAGCAAACTTCCATTTACACAAGCAAGATTGGCTTGTGGGGGTGAAATGAAAGTAAACACCTTGAAATGTCTGCTCGTTAACAACAGTTGTGTTGTTTGAACGACCTCAAGGCATGGTTCTGGAATCGTCTCACCACCATAAAAAGGCAGGCCACGTGCTTCGTCACTTCAACACTGACCATAAACACCACATCCCTGTGTACTCCTGAGAACGAGTTCACATATTCTCACATTTGACAAAGCGGTCTTACTGAGAAAAGACAGGAGCTCATGGTTATGGACAGGGGTGCACATCACTTTCTTGGTCTGGTTCTCGAGGGAGCACCTGGAGATGCTGCTTGCCACACTTTACACGGCACACTTATCCTACAAGCGGTCGCCATCACTTTCCTCCTGACTGCTCTCCTCACTACCTTTATTTCTCTCGAACACGGTAGATGATGTGTTTTTTTTTCTTTTCTTAACATTAATGACACCGACAACAGCAGGAATATTAGGCTGCCATCACTTTAAGACCGAATGCACAGAACAAATATACTAACACCCATCCGGTTTCTTTCTCAACGGTTCACTTATGACATAACTGAGAGAATACTTGCCGAGACGGGTATTTTGACGTATTTTTGTGTGTATGTGTCCGTTCAAGCGCAAGTAAAGGCAAAAGAGGAATTCATTCGGTATTCAAGAGCTGTCTGAAACGTGCCTCTCTCGCGAATTTCATCTCTTCTTCCACGTTTAAAATCATTTGAATGTGTAAATTGGCAAGAAAAAACATGTCCGAATGATGTTATCTCTCTCTATGATGGCTAAACTTAGCAGTAAATCTGCGGATCACATGATTGCTGAACCGTGAGGGCTGGTCCGTGCAGATCACGGATCAACTGCGACCCGTTGCACCCCTAATGATTAATGAACACACTTATCATCATGATTGCTATCTAACCATCGCTTATTTTTACCACGCATGCGCACCAGTTATGTGCACACCTGGTTATGGATACTTCAAGTAAAAGTCCAAGTTGTGTTATTGATGTCATAAATGCTATTATTAGTAATAATTGGCAATTATATAGCTATATATATATATAAGAGCTCCACAATATCAAGAGGGGCATCTCGTGCTGTTTTTGATAGTACTTTTCTACAAGTTTTGCATTTTAAAAAAGGCCTCGAGACCAGAGTTCTGCCCACGCCTAGAGAAACACCACACAGGCTGAACTGATCAAGGTTCGGAAGAGACCATTAATCAACTAGTCTTTCTGGCAGCCAATCAACTAGTAGCATTTTATTAAAAAACAAAGAAAAAAAGGTATCTGCCAAAGCACAAACCTATTTGTTGGGCAGGAGCTTAGATAGGGAATGAATGACTATGCAATAACCTAGTCCAGGCGTGTCCAGTCCTGTTTGTGGGTCTCCATCTTGCTGGACAGTTTAACTCTAACCGGTGTTGTAGTCGAAACCAGCTCATTCTGGGCTGAGACCTGAGTGGGTTAAGTCATGTCATGACTCGACAGAGGCCAAAAGAGAGTTGAGTGCAAGTCAAGATAGACTTGAAGAGGGACTGAATGTTTCAATGTCAATATGATTTCCTTGGGGTGAATGAAGTGAATCCAACCTGCTCCAACACACCTGCCTAGAAGTTTCAAGTCACCCCAAAGGCCATGATTAGTGAGTTTAGGTGTTTACTAATAGTTGAAGTGTTGGAAGGTGGTCCTCCAGGACCATGAATGGACACCTGAATTAGTCCATTTCAACTAGCATAACCATTTGAATGTTTTATTTAAACCTTATTCTCTGCTCAATTTAACGATTAGTCTTTCTTTATCAGGTATTGCAATACCAATTCCAATCAAAGGGCTACAAGTCTTCGATCATCCAAACAACATCACCTTCAACAACAACCACACCTGTTTGTTGTCACCAGAGGGCTTTGGGGACTTCAAGGTGTATGGGTCTTTGACGGCTTTCTTTATACCCCTTACAATTATGATGATCATCTACTTGCTGACAATCCAAGTACTACGCAAGAAGGCTGACCTTTTGAGATCGAGAGCTAGGAGGCCCACCGTTTCCACTGTCTTCCAGCAGGAATTGCCGGCTCTCTCTTCAACTGAGAAAGTGGCCATTGCAAATGGAATAAAAAGGGACCGAACACTGAGCTCCGTCACAGGGGATGAGGTTCCTCTCCGCAGGATGTCCACCATAGGGAAGAGGTCCATGCAAAACTTGACTAATGAACAAAGGGCCTCAAAGGTTCTGGGAATTGTATTCATGTTGTTTGTTGTGATGTGGTGTCCTTTCTTCATTACTAATGTGACCTCTGTACTCTGTCAAGGGTGCAACGGTAATCTAGTGGAACACTTGTTGGATATCTTTCAATGGGTGGGATATGTTTCATCGGGCATCAACCCTCTGGTTTATACGCTGTTTAATAGGACGTTCAGGCAGGCCTTTAGGCGCTACATCACCTGTAACTACAGACGTGTGAGGACTCCAAAAATGCAACGGAGAAGCAGAATTGCTTTTCGGTCACCAGTGACTGAAAACTCAAAACGGTTTATGAAACACGGTATGAAAAACGGCATTAGCCCTGTAAGCTATCAAAGTCCTCTCCGGCGTCGGCCCACGAATCTGCAGACCTCCGCAAATATCACGCTGGACACGTTGCTTCTGGCGGAGAATGAAGACTGCAAACCTGACGAACACGTAAGTCACGTGTAGTATATCTGACACGCTTCAGAAAAGACAAGATAGAGACTTGCCATAGTGTTGCAGTGGCATAAAAACGACAAGTCCTCATGGGAACCAATGAGATATGGTCGAAAAGAAGTTCAAGGCCAAGTCCAAGGTTTGTTCAGCATTGCAGCCAATACAATACTCCATCTTTAAACCTTGGATTGGGGGATATAAGATGAATGTCTGAGAACCACCAAGACACAACACAGCTTTTGCATGAGAAAATAATGGGCAGCCTAATAATTGGCGGTACTGTGAAAATAAACAGTACTTGGGGGCAAGAGAGGACTGTCTTCGCACAAACTAAATTTGGTTGACAGGGTCTACAATGTGAAACCAAACAAAAAAAAAGACATCTTAATAAAGATAAGCAAAAATAGCTCATTTAAATCACACCTCCACTTACCTTCTGTATACAAGGAAAAATAAATGCCTTACTGAATTATAGCAGGGCTTCTTTATTTCTGTAGACTGATCTTGAATCAAAAACAAGTGCTTTTGTAAATGTAAGAAAGAATTATCTGTAGATACTGACATTTCTGAAGATTCTTGGAACTATTGCCAAATAAACTTTTTTTTCAGATAATCATTATGGTTTCATTGTGAATTAAGAAAACAATGTTTCTTGCATACTGAATATGCAAGTGCTCCTTAATGTTAATTGCACAAAAAAAACAATCATCTATGACGCCACTAAAAACATTCAACATGTTTTACTGTTATATTCTCATAGTGAGAATATTCCACTTGCATTTGCAGCAAGAGATCCATCAACACCCACAAAACTGTTTTGCGTGATTTGCATGTCTGCGGGACAGACGACAGAAACCTGTTGAACTGTTGCAGATCTATGCACTCTCTAAACAAAGGAAAGATTTACATTGATTTTTCTTGTTGTTTAAATGACAGTTGATCATGGGAATAATCCCATGGCCTTTTTAGGGCTTAAAATAGTTCACCAGTTCTACTTGGCCCAGAACCCTGAGAGGCGTCTGAGGGGGAACTTACTGACACCAATAACAAAAGACTGTGCAAAAGAATTTAAAAAATGTATATATATATATATATATATATGGGACAACACAACATGTCCTTCTAACTGCATGCAAGATGTCTAAAGGTGTAACATTGAACCCATGGATACCTAGCTAATTAAACCCTACTACTTCAAGGCATTCTTGTCTTGAAAGCACTGATTCTCTCGGTCACCAAATATTGTTTTTGAGATCAATCAAAGATCAATGCCGCCTAGCTGACTATTTCAAGAATTGCTTGATGTTCAGATGTTTTGAATGCAGGGACGCATATGAGTGTGTAGTGGACATGACCCTAAACTCATTAAACAGAGCTTTTACAATTGACTACCTGACTTTGAAAACATGCATTTCTAAACCTGTAAAAATGTAGGGTTTGGCAAAAAGCATAAAAATAAATCTAGGACATGACAACTCATTTTTGGTTGAACTACAGCTTAAAGGAACACGCTGACTTTTGGGACTTTAGCTTATTCACCGTATCCCCCAGAGTTAGATAAGTCCATACATACCCTTTTCATCTCCGTGCGTGCCGTAACTCTGTCTGTCTGCACCCACTGCTAGCCTAGCTTAGCACAAAGACTGGAGGTAAACGGCTCCAGCTAGCATACTGCTCCAAATTATTGACAAAAATCACTCCGCCCAAGAAGCAGTGCTTCGCCTTCTGAGAATATAGTTCCCAGTATGTATACGGTTAAAAGATGGCTCTCTCATATATGACCTTGTTATTTGTACACACTGTGACTATACAAATCACAACATATAAATAGGAAAATGTTGGTGTTATTTTGTCACTTATTGGGAGCAGTATGCTAGCTGGAACCATTTACTTCCAGCCTTTGTGCTAAGCTAGGCTAGTGGTGGGTGCGTCAGATAGAGTTACAGCACGCACGGAAATGAAAAGAGTATGTATGGACTTATCTAACTCTGGGGGATACGGTGAATAAGCTAAAGTCCCAAAAAATTGGCGTGTTCCTTTAAGAATATGGCAGAAATTCTGTTGAACTGATGACATACACTCAATGCAGAAACACTAAGTCAGAGCAAAAGAGGATGGAAAATGTGTGCACACTCTCACTGACAATAAAGCAAGTGCCACAGGGCACGATAAGAGGAAGTGATCGATCTCTCAATGGGACATCACATCAGGAGACACTCCAAACACATTTGTAAAGCGCTACAGAGGAATGGGAGGAATCTCGTCTGTGTATACATTAAGGCCTGATTAATCCGTTCCTGGCAAGGGTTCAGAAAGCGGCTCGTCTGTTTATGATGAAGCGCAGGACGAGACGACAGGGAGCGTTGATGAGACAAGAGACAGGTGAGGACAGGCAACATACCTGAACATGATGAATCCGATGGACTCGACGGCAGCCCTCCGAACATCGTCGTTCACGTCACTCACCTGACAGGAAGAGGGGCGAGAAATCAGACAAAATATTAAACTCACTAATCTTAAAGAAAACAACAATTCTATAATAACATAATTAACTAAACATTACTTTGATTTGAGCGGATATTGCCAAATTTGTCATGTTGCCAGCACTGAGGTAAAAAGCTGATAAATTATAAAAAATTCATGGCATTTAATTTTTCAAAATAGTAATTACAATTAACAGGTTTTCACATGTCCACAATCTCAAATTTAGTCCTCATGCAAGCGAACTCTCAATCACTCACTGAGCAGTGGCTAAATGTAGCTCCGTATGGCATGCAGGTTATTTTCTTGCCGTTGTATAAATAATCAAGTAATAATTAAAGTTGAAGTGCCTGAGCTTAACCAGAGCCTAAATCTAAAAGAAATACATAAATTACACAGAAGTTACAGTTACACAGAAACACTAAAAGCTCTATTGATGTAAGTACAACACAGAATGGAAATGTCGCCCCCTGAAAGAAATGCACGATAGACCCCATGCTCAAAAAGAAAATAATGTTGCAATTTTTATCTAAAATCGAAAATTAACATGATTAATTAGGAGCATGTCTTACTACTAGGGCTGCACGATTTGGGGAAAATGTCATATTGCGATTATTGAGGTCAATATTGCGATATGCGATTGCGATATAATAAACAAATGGTTTCATGAGTCAACTTGCTTGGTTCTAAAGCAAAATGCACACACAGATTAGTGATAATGCTGAAATGTGTATTTCTCAACTCAAACTAGCGACAACAACTAAATGATTGATAACACCTATTATGATCAATAAGCCATTGATGTCTGGATAAAAATAATTTTAATTTTAATCTAAGTGAACTTCAAACAATCCTCACATAAACCCATAATAAATGTCATATTTACCTGTGCTCTTCCTGTCTAACAGGTAGGACATATACAGAAATTGAATAAAGTTATTCAAACAGTCTGCGCTGCATAAATTATAAATTATTTGGACTAAAATTCTAATTAAAGCTGCACAAGTTCTTTGGTCAAGAGCAGTTTCTCTGTTCCCTTTGTTCTTTGATTAACTTTACTGACAGAAAGCATTATTGGATGCTGGCCCTTTAAGAGTTGCTGACAGAGACGCGGATCTCACACGACTCTTTACGACCATCATAAGACTACTCTTTTGTTATGAAGACACTCGACAAATGATATTTTGGCATAAATGCGTGTTATTGTTTGTTCACTTCAAGCGGAAAGAGAACTGTATTCTGGCGCGCGCATGATACTGGCGCGCGTCTTTAAGTCAGGACTTTCACAGGCAGCGCGCTCTCTTTTGACTTGTCTCGCTGAATGGTTTAAAGCATTCGCATTAATAAGAGCGGGATCATGTAACACTAGCCAAAGGATGACAAAAAATAACAGATGCCGCGTTAACAGCCCTAATTTGTTCATTTCATATAAAGTCGCAGTATTTTGCGTCATATAATCGCATAGGCTTGACATCGCGATTACGATTAATCGTGCAGCACTACTTACTACTTGAAATCTTTAAACCATTCTAAATGTCCTAAAATAAATATCAGATTATGACCTTGTTTTTTTTTCACTACTGACTTGTTTGGTAATATCTAATCTAATAAAGCTACTCTCAGATCTTACATTTCAGAATAAGATTACTGATTTTCAAACGGTCAACGGTTTTGTGGAATGACCCTTATATTGTTTTTTTGTGTCTAATAATCCATGTCGTTTGTGATATCTGCTAGTGTAGACTCACAGCCACGTGTAGCAGTCGTCGGATGGCTTTGTTGTTCCCAGATCCGCAGTATGCCATGGCCACTGTGTACATTCCCGAGCGGCGCAGGATGGGGTCCTGTCAGGACAGAGAGATAAAACAGAAGCTCAATGTGCAGACCAGAACCTCAGACATCAGCGAGCTGCACAGTTAATATATTCACAGAATAAACACAGCTCTCTGGAAACGGTTAAGACTACAAAGAATGCATTCTGCATGGAAAATTGTGCTATGAACCATTACATTTGTATGAAAAGGTATGCAATCAAGGGGAGGTACTGCCCTTAAGGTTTTGACTTTAATATTTTCCAAAAAACTCCCAGCAATCTAAAAAGTCATACAAAATATGAAAACAGTGCTCACCTTATCTCTGCATAGACTCTCGATTAGAGCATCGGCCTCTTCCATCCTTCCGTACATTACCATGGCGATGCCGACAGCCAATCCGCGCAGGATCTTCTCGTGCTGGGTCTCCTGAGCGTAACCCACCATGTCCTCGATCGCCTGGGCCGACTTTGAGCCCAACATCACCAGCCCCAGAGCAAGACCAGCCGCCTCTCCTGTGACAACACCCATTAACAACATGACAGTGAGCTTAACCTTGAAATATAGACTGGCTTGGTGACCATTTAAAACTGAACGGCATTATGATCAAGTATTCTGGGTGGTCGCTAATCGAGTTTCTAATTGCGATTAAGTAATCGTTCAAAGCCGCGATTGCTAAAAAAAAAGACCACCTACATTATTCTGTGTGCTTACAGGTCCTTGCACACAGATTCCCAAATTCTCATACGTTAAAAAATAAATGTGACCTCACCTTGTGTCAATCATGTTTGCAAACTGCCTCAGAAAATCGAACCTGATCTGAATGTTTTTATGACGGCCGAAAGTTTCTGTGTTCTTCGCATCCGTAGCAAAGCATTTTGAGGTCAAGAGCCGCCGAATAACGAATACGGAAAAACACATATGAAGATTTCGGTCCACAAAGACCTTAAGAGGTGTGTTTAGAGCATGTTACGTTGTGAGAATCACGACTACTTCAGAGAACCAGCGACGTAAATGTACGCTGAAATAAAGTCTCTCGCCTCAAAAAAACAGACTTTCCTGTCCTGTTTATTTTCACGGTGTTATTCTGTATGTTTTAAAATGACTGTGGTGGCTCATACCAACATTGTATTAAAGGCACACTATGCAGGAAATCCGTTTTTGTCAAACAGCGCCC